CGAGTTTTCCAACTTATGGGGAATGGTTATTGTAGTACTTGGTTTACAATCCCTGTGGAGACGATACTCTACTTACTTTCTATATTACTTGTGCGATCGGTATACTTGCCGGAGAGCATCACACACATGACATGAATATCTGTTGCACTGCATAGTTTTGGAACTTATATTGGAATTACTGCTTTTGAACTTATATTGCACATGTAAGTGAGCTTGGGGTGGAAGATCCTTGAGGACCCCTTGTTTTGCTGAGGTTTCTTGTTTAGAGATCTCACCCCAGGTTTGGGGACGCTTATTTCAGGTTCAGGTAACCCAAGGGTTTAGACCTTTAGTGGCAGGAGGCCAGAGCTGAGTTAGATATTGCTGTTAATTGCTGACATGTTGGATGCTGGATATGCCTGTTGCTTTTATACTTTTAGTTTCAGTTATTATTATGTTGTTGCTGTTGAGACTGCTGTTGGGCTTTGTTGCCTTATTTGGTGAGCATGGAATTTGTCCATGCCACATTGTTGACTATGTCTTGTTTTTTAGTTATGAGTTGTAATAATGTATCAGGATTATGTCCGGACTATGTGTCGTAGATCTGTGACTTTAGATACTCACTATTATTCTATGAGGTATTTCAGTTAGTTATCCTTTGCAATTACATACAGACGATATTTTTATGAAATGGATTAAGTAATCAACTTGGCTAAGATTAATGACGTCATAATTGAACAGAAAAAGATATTCCGCATTTTTTTTAAGCGTGGCTTAATACGATGACATGTTAACAAACCGAGTATACACGGGGTATTACATTTTACGGTATCAGAGCACTTTCTAGGGAAAAAGCCTGTATGTAATGCAATAACGAAGATTTTTGGTTGTGTCTGTCTTGTGTGTTTGCTCCGTTGGGTTTTATTATGATAATGCATTTGTGATCACATTGCGTGGGCCTGATCAACTCATAATTTGTGTAACTTGTGCAGAGTCATGGTAATACCCAGGAGAACCCGCGAGACTGTTGAGGGTCAACTCGACCCGATCCTGACTGCATTAGCTGAGATGCAGGAGGCCGCTAGATTGGCCAACGTGGCAATGATGGACGTTGTTAGGAAAGCGAACCGGAAGGCCACAGAGGATGCTCTCGAGGCAAACCGTTTGGCAAACATGACCATGATGAGGGTCATGTTGGAGGAGATGAGAACTGATCCTGCTGTTGGTCAGTTCCCACCGCCGCCGCCTCCACCTAGTCTGCAGGACGACAACCAGAGCCATGTTGAGGGCACTGGTCATGCTACTGGGGTGATGGAACCCTATGTGGGGCCTGCGGAAGACCGTGATGTGATTGATCGCCGGCTTAATGCTTTCCCTAAGCATAAGCCACCTTCCTTTGATGGGTCTTATGATCATATTGCTGCGGCGAGATGGCTACAGGCGTTGGACAAGATCTTTCGGGTCATGCAGTGTTCAGATCCGCATAAGTTGATGTTCGCGACCTATATGCTAGAGGGTGACGCCCATGAATGGTGGACGAACACCTCTCATGCTTTTGAGATGCAGGGTCATGTGATGACTTGGCCATTCTTTGAGGACTGTTTTCTAGGTTGGTACTTCCCTTATGATGCACAGGAGATGAAGTAGGGGGAGTTCGACAGGTTGGTTCAGGGCTCGTTGTCTGTTGACGAGTACCTGGCCAAGTTCAATGAGCTGATGAAATTTGCACACTTTCGGATGGAGAAACCTACTCCGATCTTCTTGGCTGCTAAGTTCCGCAGGGGACTTAGTGAGGATATTGCTGGTTACCTTGCTGGTTCTGCTTCTAGAGACTTCGGGACACTGGTGCAGCAGTGTCGGGATATCGAGAATTTCTGCAACTCGAGTAAGGTCAAGAGGGCCAATGTCGCTTGTCCGCAAGGTTATACTAATGTAATTAATAATATAGTTATTATATAAATTTTTTTAATAATTTTATCAAAGACAAAGTTATACTTATTTTAACATTAAAATATTTACATTTAGGAAAAGATATTTTATCACTTTAAATTAAATAACTTTGTCTCATTTTAAGTGAAATTGTCATATTTTCAATATATATTTGTTGACTTTTATATTCTCTCCCCTCCATGAAATTAGAAGGAGAGAAAAAGAAGAATATTATGAAGAAAAAAATATAAAAACCCAACAAATATATACTAAAACACCATTATTTCACTTAAAATAGCACAAAATTACATTTTTCTCTTAACTTTATACATCTATTTCAAGTTTTTATGCAATGTAACTATGTAAGTATATAAATTATCTTACATGTTAAGTTAAATTTTTTGTTTTCATGAAAAGGCTAGTTCAATGCCCAATAAAATGATACAGAGCTCGTTTGTTTGGGCTTCTAAAAAAAGTTGCTTTTATCTATTTCTTATTTTAGAAATATTTTTTTACAAAAGTTAAAGCTATTTATATTTTTATAAAAATATTTATTTTTGAAAAAATATTTGGCTTTTGACTTCTACTTTATTTATAAGTTAAAATTTTTAGCTTATAAAAAAAGTTAATTTTTAGCTTTTTTTATGACTTCTCTTTTTTTAAAAGCAGATATCTAAACGAATTTAAGGTGAGAAGTCCTTTTTTTTTTATAAAAAAAAAATAACTTTTGAAAAAAAAAAACCATCCAAACCGACCCTAAATCGTATGTAACACTTGGTGTTGGATAGGTTCTTCCAAGTTTAGTACCTAGAGGAAACATACATTTTGCCACATTAATCCTTAAAACAATTTTATCACTAAAATAATATATGACAAAAAAATTATTCTATAAATTTAAAAGAGTTATTTAATAAAAAAAATTAAGAATGACATACTATTCTTTTATGACCAGTATTTTTTTTTTTTTTGAGACCAGTTTTACTTCCACCATGGAAGTTCCAAAAAATTGTTGGTTTATGATTTAAGGGGTACCCCAGCTCTCGTTAGTACGAGTGTAAATGAGTTAGGTCGGTGTACAAGGACCTATGACTTAGTTTATATTAAATTAGATTTGACCTATTACAAATAGTAAAATATAACATGCCTAGACTTTTAAAAAAATCTATTTAGAAAATAGACCATAGGTTTTTTTGTACATATAGAGCCTATAAGCCTACAGGCCGGCTTATATTATATTTTTTATTTTAAATAAAATAAATAAAATTATTATTTTAATAATTTTGAATAATAAAATAATATTATTTTAGTTATTCTTTTAATTGTTGAATGTTTTATAGGCAAGTCAATAGGCCAAGACCAAGACTTTTATTTTTTAAATATAGATTAGACCACACTCATAATTTGAGACTTACACAAACTAAAATACCAGAGTTCAAAGACAACTTTTTTACACGTGGCCAAGCTATTTAAGTCAAAGCTGCGTAACTTATTTACACCCCTGATCGTCAGCACCGGGAAAAGGCAGTGGCAGAGGCTGTGACTGTGAGTGATGGACTACACCCGCGACACTAAGCACCGCTCCATTGGTAACTTTCAGGGAACTTTTTTTTTTTTTTTTTTTTTTTTTCATTTCTAACTTTTATTTCATCCATCATTTTCTTTCACTTTCTTGCATTTTCTGTTTGGCTATCGAGAAAAAATAAAATAAAATTTGCGTGGGACCCCACAAAGTAAAATGCAAACTTCAGAAGAACCCAAAAGAGTTTTTTTTTTTTTTTTTTCTTTAGCATTGGAACTGGGCATTTGTGTTGTGGCATTAGCTGCTTGTTTGACTTGTTTGATGTGTCCTAATTGTTTATTTTATGAAAGTTGATAAATAAATAAATTTGTTTAGAAGTAAAGTGTGATCATGGTCATGGGTATGAGATTCACAGTGGCCGACAGTACTTGTGTGCTGCCTAGATTCTTGGTGACATATGTTTGACCCTTTTGGTCAGCTCTTTGAAATTTTTTTATAATTATTTCTCTGCTCTAGCATTTGCCTCTGGAAAGGGGAAACTAAGTCTTTTTTTTAAAATAATTATTAAAGGACCTGTGTATGTTGTTGTTGGTGTTGTTTATTGGAAAAAGGACCCGTTCATCACTTCATCGCAGGATTAACTGTCTTTTTCTATTGTGCCCTACTGGACCCTTCCAATTATTCTCCATGCTTTATATCTTATCTATTTTTATTTTAGAAATTGGATCATAATCATATGGGTCATGGTTAACAGTCTCCATACATAAGTAACAGCTTTGTAGTTTAAACTTTAAAATAATAAAATGTGCTTGCTCATTTGGTTGTCTCCATATATGTCTAATGAAGCTTGGATTGTGACCTTGAAATAGAGGTATGTGTAGGCATTTGATACCCTCAAATGATGTTCTTTCCATAATATGTAGCTGCTCTTTGGTATAATATGACATGATATTATGGTGTCTTTCTTCTCTTATTTATTTTGTTTTGTGATGTATTTATTTTTCTTTGTACACTTTAACATTTGAGGGTGAGCAGCGGTGAGGTTGCTCTTTTTTGACCGGATGGTCACAAGTTCGAGTATGGAGAAACAACCTCTTTGCAAAAATGTAAGGGTGAGACTCACTTAGTACAATTGACCCTCACTCTTATCCTCGCAGAATCTGGGAGTCTTGTGTAATGGGGTTTGCCTTTTTTTTTTTTTTTGTACACTATAACGTTTGATATCATGAGATATTTATGGTTAGGATTCTTATAGCATCATGCTTCACCAAATTTAAACATATTCACGTAGTTGACCTTAAATTCCATTACTTTTATGCAATTTATTGTGTTTTTGTTGTGCATGGCTCATGGCTGCCCATGTTATGTCAATAGCCTCTTCTACAATTTGGTTGGTCACTAAGGAAAATGAGAAATTATGACCTTTCCAAGTTCTAATTACTGTTTAATCTCATTTTTTTTTTTGAGTAATTAATCTTATTTCTTTTGGTTTTCTCAATGCAAGTAAAGGTTTAATGCATTATGTGAAGTTATATCATGTAGATCCCTGGGCGTTAATGTAAAACGTAGATAGATGACCGGTCTCTTAATTGCATTGACTGCAGAACCTCGTGGGATGAGGGATGTAATGGACTTGAAGCATCATATTCACTGTCTGGAAACTGAGGCTTACAGTTCTATTGTGAAGGCTTTCATTGCTCAATCTGATCTTCTCACTTGGGTAAATATTTATTTTAAATTATAACCATTCTATGTGAGTGTGATCAAGTTAGTAAGGTATCTGCTGAAAATTTGTTTGTGGCTGCAGCGAAAAGAGGGGCTTATGACCGATCTGCGAAGTGAACTAAATGTTACAGATGTTGAACATGGAGAAATCCTGATGAAAATCAATTCAGATGAGTCAATTAAATGGATAAGGTGTCTGCATCTATTTTTCTGTTCATGTTCTGATGCACAATTGTTTTGATTGTTATGATAATACAGAATGCAGAATCTTTACTGCTTTGACCATTTTATGATGCAGGGAGCAGAGGAGACTGCCATCTCATGCTCAGGGTTATATTAAAACTAATACTCCTGGTTGTGCTTCCGCTTCAACGGGAAATTCAAAGATAAGATTGGAAACACCACCCTCTGCTGCAGTTTATCCTCTGAAGAACATGTCAAGTAGCCAAGCTTCTCTGATTTCTATTCCTATCCCTTCTTCAATGCCTGTGAGTAAAATCCAGCCCAATACAAATGAGAAAATTGTTTATCTTCCATTCCCGCTGCATTTGGAGCCTGTTTGGTTTAGATTCTGGACACTCCAGAATCACACTTGAGGCCAAATTAGTGCCTTGAAGTAAAAGTGAAAGACTTCTACTTGTTCTTTGCAAAATCAAGTCTCATATTTCCTAATACAACATATTTACATGAATTTCTTTATAATGAAATTACAGTTAACTTCGTAAATACATTTATGGTAATTTGCCACTTGAAAAGCAATTTTATCTAACAAGATCCAAAGATGTTTTACATTTCTAAGACCAATTCTTATGCAATCAGTTTTCATTTGCCATGGCAAAAGTATTTGGTCCGTTGACCTTCCGAGGAGTTTTTTCTTCTTGATAAATCCCTTTATCCAAAGCACCCTCTTAGGTCAACTGTCAAGTCTTTTATTTGGACTGTGGTACTTAATAGAATTAATGCTAATGACATGTTGTAGGTTCGTAGGCTGCGTAAGGCTTGTTCCCCTTATATATGTGTAACATGTGGTGCTTGCTCAGAACCAGTTCCACACCTTTTCTTACACTATTTTGCTGTTGTTTCTTTATGGAATTCTTTATCTGGCATTTTTGGTGATTGTCAGGGTATCCTAGGTCTTTGGACCAATTCTTGATGATTAGCTTTCATGGCCTTGGTAGAAGTAAAGAGGAATTTTTTTTGTCGCAATGTGAAACCTATGCTTAATTTTTGTGCATTTGGTTTGGGCAATTATTATTATTTTTTTTTAGGTTTTTGTGGTAGGATAAAGGGGGCGAACCGGAACAGTGGTAAAGCTGCTCCTTCATGACTGAAAGGTCATGGGTTCGAATCCAGGAAACAGCCTCTTTGCAATTATACAAGGGTAAGGCTATGTACAAGGATTACCTCCATCCCACACTCGCTAGTCAAGTTTAACGGGGAGTGGTTTTTTTTTCTGTGGTAGGATACTTGATCTAGGACAAAATTAGGGATTTGGCTTCTATTTGGTGAAAAGAAGATGACCTTTTTTATGGGGTTTCCCTGGTAGATATGTTGAGGGATTTGGCAACCTTGCTCCATTATTTTTTTTCTCTTCTTTTTTCGTTGTTGTTTTCAGTTTTGGTTAAGGAGTCCTCCATTCTCTTTGAAATTTTTTCTCCTTGTCCCAATTTTTTTTAACGAAAAACTATTCTTCCACATTCAATTTTAAAAATTAATTTTATAAAATAAGTTCTCCAACAATCTAGACCACTTATTTCAATGACTGATTGCCATGCTGCTGACTATGGAAGAGATTTCTAAATAATTTCATCTATTGGTAACTTCAACAATTTTGAATAGTGTTAGTGTTTTGAGTTTTAACCACTTTCATGGTAGCATAGCCGTTCCTCTCAAAAAGGCTTGTAGAATTATCCTCAAAATTTAGAGGGACTTGTATAGTAAACAATGAGTTTAGGTGGAAGGATGGATTTAGGTTATGATTCAGATAATTAGATGCATATTTGTTTTGTGTTTATGAATGTTTTTCCGTACAGAAGTGTATGCACACTGTTTAACAAGGCAAAAAATGTACTGTTTCTCTTATTATAATAACATGTTTTCGATTTTCTTTTTTTCTTGGATGAACATTTCTCAAGATCTGTACCAGCCTGTCTTCTATCTACTGATACACAGTGTGAGTAGATATCTATAATCATGTGTGACTACATGATAAAAATAGTTGAGCCTTGGGCTTATTATTGTGTTTTTTCTGTCAGCCAAAATTTAATGATGATCCGTTGACTGCTGAATTTGCCCATGGGAATGTGGAGAAATCTATGAACACGTTCAATTATAATGCTCAGTTACCGCCTATTGGAAGAGAGAAAGTGCTGAAAGGAAAATATCAATTGAAGAAGGACTTTAACAGATCTGAGTGTGTCAAGTTAAAGAACAGATCTGATTTAATTGAGATCCGTGCTACAGATAGGGTTATCCATGATGTAAGAAAAATCCTTATTTCATATCTATTTTTGATTGGTTTTATGTTACTTTCATTTCCACCTGAAAATAAATGATCAGTTAAATAAAACAGGCAATTCATGGAACTTGTAGATATGAAGAGAAAATTAGAATATTTGTAATGTTTAAAGCCGTGTTTAAATGTTGATGATCATTGACTTGTCTATCATGTTAAACACTCTGTACCTTGATAACTTTATCAGTATGTGGATGCAGTGGCGGAGACTGACATTTTCTAAGAAGGGGGCAATCCTTCAAAACTTACGGAAGAGTGACTATTAAATTTTGCCAAAATGTCACGCGACATATTTCGCTACACTGTGTAGCGAAATATATTTGCAAGTAATTCGCTACACAGTGTAGCGAATTTCTGCTTACTTGACACGTGTTATTTTTGCTGAATGTGCAGTCTGACATGGCATATTTCGCTACACTGTGTAGCGAAAGCTACACAGTATAGCGAAATATGCCGCGTGGCATTTTGGCAAAATTTACTGTTGGCGTGGCAGTTTGATAAATTTTTTTGGCAAGCGTGACAAAATGGTCACTGTTCCAAAACTTACTTCTTTAATCGTTCATAATGCAGAGTTTACAAAAAAATTATTTGAGCTTAGGGGGGTCACTGCCTACCCTAGCCCCCCTTGGCTCTGCCGTTAGTGGACAGGTTTCGGAATGAAATATGTTGTAAGCTAGGACAGTTACATTTTATTTTATTTGGGATATGATTCTGCTGTCACCTGGAAAGATGAAATATCAAAAGCGTGGAAATTAAGAGGTCTCATTTTGCAGAATGAAGATTTATTAAATTATTGATACTTCATATTAATTATCATTTCTTAATGGACTAAGTTATATATCATAAATGGTTTCCTTTTTGCCTGTTCCATATATTTGTTTCATGGTTAATTCATTATGCATTTAGCAGTTACTTAACATATACTCTAGTTTCTGGCATTCGATGGTGGTTCTGATTGCAATTTTTTAATTCCTTATATTTGGAAGGTTGAGAAGATGCTTTTCAGCAGAGAGAAACCTGACCCAGTTGATATTGAGAGAGCTAAATGGACTCTTGGGGTAACTCCTGCCTTTTGAGATGCGTTGAGTTACCTTAAATATTTGTATTCAGACAATTCGGACAAACAATGTATTATATGAATATATATAATTTGTTCCAGGAGCAAGAAAGAGCTATACTTGAAGCACTTGGTAAACTGGCTGAGGTGATAGAGAGGGGTAAGGATATTTTCCTAATATTCTTCTTGGTTTTCTCACTGTCATTGCACCTTTTTATCTCTTCATGTGTAATGACTAATGACTTCCGGTACCTATCCCAATTTTTCAACACCTCATTCATTTCGCTTTGATGCAGAGAAAGTCAATTACCACACAAACATGTCACTTTTGGAATTCATACAGTAAGTACATCTCTAAGATGCAAGATGGGAAGTGAGTGAAAACAACAGAACTATAGAAATCTGTTAGATGTCTTCACTAGATTCATGTTTTCCTTCAAGGTATTTCTGTTCTTGTTTTTGATTTTTCAAGTGGTTCATGAGATGAACGTTCTGTCCTTTTTGTTTTCTAACAGATAATTAAATCTGTCCTTTACCACTGCTTCAACCTCACAACCGAGATAATTAAATCTGTTTGATATTAATTAAAAGGTTTTATAAGAGTTATGTTGTAGGAAAAGTGATTGTGTTATGTTATAGAGATTCGTTTTGCATGCCGAAGTTGTTTTTTATTTTTTTTTGCTGCGGGTCTCACAAAATATTATGTGTGTAGGAAATTTTTTGTGGTCATGTTAAATGATAGATGATAAACCCTTAATTAAATCCACCCTATTCAATATAAGAGGCAAAGATTTCTTGATAAATATTGGCATTAGGCTCCATCTAAATACCCCGAATTGCAGCTAACATAGTACAATTCCATATAGCCTTTCATTTCCTACGACTCCTTAGGTTACTCCACCTATTTTAAAGCAGCTTTTAAAAGTACAAGGGATGCCGTGGGAGGTAGGAGGCTCAGGCAAAAAAATAAAAATTTATATGAGTGCCGCGGAAAACTGGGGGTGTTATTTAGAGTCGCTGGTACCCTACGCGGTACTGAAAAACCCCAAATGATAATATCTCCCAATTGATACCCAATTGGTATATTTAAATGGAAACTAGTCAAAGAACTGGGCTATCAAGCTATTAAATTTTATTTTTAGAATAAAATTCATCAAATGGTCAAATTGTATACATAATAAATAACATGAGATTATAAAACAGGCACTGTGGGTGTCTGATTGTGTTTTGATTTTTTATTTTTAAAACTGTTTTATAGAATAGTTAATGAAATACCTGTTTTTTATATTTTTTGTGTTTTGAAAGTTAAAGTCAAAATACAAAAAAATAAAAAATAAAAATATATTTTTTAAATTTGATTCTAAAAATAAATAAAAAAGTTATAATTTTAATTATCATTTTTTTTTTTACAAAACATGTTTTTTCTCTCTGAAAATCAAAAAAACTGTTTTTCCAAATAGATTTCAAACAGATCTTAGGTGTTTGATTGTGTTAAATGTTTTTTGTTGAATAGTTAATAAAATAAGCGTTTTTGGTATTTTTTTTTATTTTGAAAGTTTAAAAACAAAACACAAAATAATAATAATTCAAGTATGTTCTTTAAATTTAATTTTAAAAATTAAAAAACAGTTATAATTTTTAAAATTATTTTTACAAAATTTTATCAAGTAGGTTTTTTTGTTTTTCTGAAAATCAAAAAATGTTTTTAAAAACACAATTCAAACAGCCCCAGTAATTATGAGCTTCTCTACATTCATCGTTGTGAAGAAGCTCCAAAAAAAATTTCAATTATTATTAGCCACGTAAATTGACACGTTTTGGCAATAAGCCAAAACTTTTTAGAAATATGCAATTTGCATTATGATAAGAATCTTTGCCAAAATCCAATGAAACTTTCACCCGTCATGCCTCAAGATAGCTTAATGTAGTCATTCGAGAAAATCAGCTTTGGTTTAGCCGTATAAGACACTGATGAATCTCTACGTCGAAGGCTTACGTGCACAAATCCTAGCTAATTTGTTACTTTTTTTCATCATAGATATCATAACACTACTTGATTTATACTTTTAACTTTGAATTGTTCTTTCTCAATCCAACAAAAATCATGATTAATATTGTAGAATATGTGGATTAACAACGGTGTGTATGGATTAGTAGGTGATGGCTGAGCAAGAGCAATAAGTAGGATTTTAGAAAAATGAATAAGACACATTTCTTCAAAAGCTCGTGGGACTCATTATGTGGTTCAATAGTTCATGTTCCTCGAGACAATGAAAACCAAAACAAATTGTGTTTGGTATGTATAGATCGTAAATATTATTGTATAGGTACGTGCTTAGAGATATCTACAAAAGAGATATCTAATTGATATAGAACCAATATTTCAATCACTGTGCACAAACAATAAGTGAATAATCAATGTGTGTGTGCAAAGTGTTGGAGCTAATACTAAATAGGTTTAAGAAGTGTGTACCTCAAATCTTTTAACTCTTATTTATAAAGATTACCTTGTGGGTTTGGGTCTTTAAGATCTCCTAGTGAATATGAATTTTACTTTGGTTAACGAGGTTAGGAATTTTATCTCTTGATCCACTCCAGATTATATAGTTGTGATATCCTTATCCAATCTTATTATTGATAAGATTGTTAGGATATGGATCAGTCTAAAACAAATTGCATGTTTAAAAAGTTATAAATGTTGAATAAAAAACAAAAATTCATACTCCTCCCTAGTGAAACCTTGGTGAATTATTCATTGGTAGATGAGTTCAAGAGGATAAAAATTGTGTGGCTGTGATGAGAAGAATAGAGTATAAAATATTAATGGCATCCCAACGATGTGGTTGTGCAAAAGACATCATCCTCTCTTTTTTGGTTCCTCTGTGCAACTGAAACAACAATAACAATGCCACATAAATGACAAAACGTTCGATGATTCAAAACAGGAGTATAAATTGTTTTGAATCCCATGACCGATCGAATAACGTAATCAATGCTGACCTTATTATACGTTCTTAGGAAGTTTCCTTTGCTAAATTTATTAGAGGCATATCCAAGATGGGAAACTTGAGGTGGGCACGAACAAGTAACATATTCAATGCTGTTCTTGGGAAATTTCCTTGATAAAACTTATTATAGGTTCTCCAAGATGGGAAACTTGATGTGAGTTCACAAATAGAGTGTGACAGTGGGAATTACTTTTTTCCCCCTCCTTATCTTATCTCAATCTCCAATTAATCTTTAGTACATCTGCTTATTCATTTTGTGATACGTGAACAAAAGAATCTCACATCATCTAAAAAAAGTAAACAGTAGATAATATGATGTTTTTTGTTCACGTGTCACAAAATAATTGGACAAATAGATTGAAGAGTAAATATCTTTTTTAGTCATTAACAAAAAACACGATCTCCACTTTAGTCCCTTACAAAAATAAATTAGTTAGTTAGTCCCTAACAAATTCAAAGTGGACTCATTTAGTTGAAATCGTGATCCTCACAAATTCAAAAAAGACCCATATTAGTCCCTCAAAATGACTAAAATGGGTCCACCTTGAATTTGTTAGGGACTAACTGACTAATTTATTTTTGTAAGGAACTAAATTGGGGATTGTGCTTTTTGTTAGGGACCAAAAATGGTATTTACTCTAGATTGAATCTCCGGTGCATTCTGATGCACTAAAGATTTATTCCTCAATTCCTTACCTTAAAATAATATAATTTTTGTTTCATTTTATCATTTTTTTGGTCTTAATTATTACTATTTTATTGGATAATAAGGTTATAAGAGGAAAAAATCAGGGAAAAATTTAAATATTGATGTGATAAAATTTGACAACTATTAAGTATCATATAGATTATTTGATTAATCCGGCAAAATTACTACGATTAATAGGCCGAGATTTTACTTATGAATTGAAAAAAGTTGTAGGGAGTTGTGGACCTCAATTATGTCTGATTGCAAGTTTGCAAGGCTACAAACTCGATCTCCTTGCCTCTTGCATCCCTTGCATGACCCTTTAGTTAAAGTATATATGACATTTATGCCTTTCTAATGAAGACAACGAAAACGGAGCCAAAAGCATAAATTGATTTGTTTGTTTATGAACATTGGAAGCTTCATTGTTACCTCTTATTTACAATGAGTTGTCGTACTTTATTGTATAATTTCACTTTTACTAAAATTGCTTTTCCCACATTCATGCTTCTCATCGAAGCTAGTAATATTAATGTTTGTCGGCCCTCATGCGCACAAGCATACACGTTTGACAACAACAGCATATCTATCATATCGTCTTTTCAAAAATTAAATGAGATTGAAATTTAAAAATGATAAGATAAATGAGATAAATGACATTATTGTCATGCGTCATAATTTCACCAAATGTAACTATTCCCACTAATGTTGATATACACTTATTGTCAGGTAGTAATTATGCATCAAGTAATCAATGGTGGAACTTGAAAATTTTGTGAGAAGGAATGAGAAAAACAGAATTTACAATTAGTTGGATTTGAAGAACTTTTTAATTTTTTCTTCATACATAAAAAATAAGAAAAATGAAGGGGGCAAATTTATGTTATATTATTTTTATTTTTATTTTATATAATGGTGACATTGAAATTTGAACTCATAACCTCATGCAGATTACTCAGTCTGTTATTACTAAATCAATCCTAATCGTTTATAATATTTTTTTTAAGTCTAAATATAATCTAAGATAAATGTTCCATGATTTTGAGGGGGGCGATTGCCCCTCCCTGACTCCATCACTTGACATACAAAAATAAAATAAAAATAAAAAAAATCAAATCAGCTATATGTTACGAATACACACTATTTCACGCATACAACTCATAAAAATGTTTGTTAAAAAAAATAAAATTAAGTACTAGTATTTGTGAATTGTTTAAAGGGTTCGGTGTTTGTCATTTTAAATGACATAAGTTATGTCATTTTAGGAGAGAGATAGACACAGAAAAACGAAAATTATGGAAGAGAGAAAGTGAGTGGTTTTTTTTAATTTAAAATTCAAATTTTCTGTATCTGTATCTATCTTAAAATGACATAACTTTCTGTCATTTAAAATGACAAACACTTTTTCCTTGTTTAAAATGCCACAAGCAAGTTGATTAAGGACTTAAAAAACATTTGTTGGATGTGATTTATAATTTTAGAGTATGTATAGGCTTTAATATAAATCATCTCCTTCGTCTTTAATTAATTGATAAATAATATTTAATTTTAATAATTAGATTTCTAAACTTTCTACATATGTCAAATAATTTTATTATGTTCATTAAATAGATAAAAATAGAACATTTATCAATTGATTATGGAGATTATTGTGACATGATTTAAAAGTGCTCTGTCAAGTAAGGTCTCTTTCAAGTAAATATATTGATTATAAGTAAATATATTTATTTCAACTAGGGTTTAAGGAAATGCTTGACACATATATCTTTAAGGTTTTAGTAGATTAATTATTATATTAAATCGTAAAAAAAGTTATTTATAAAAGGACTGAAGTTAAAGGACACTTGTTTTTGGTGATTAAGTTAAAGGACACTTTAACTGCAATATTATGCTCTTGTACCAAAATTTGGGTGTGTGATATGTATCATGAAGTTAAGATGATATTATTTCAAATTAATGATATAAATATATTCTTATAAATTTGTTTATTCTTCCAAAAATTAGCTGATTTTTTTTTTCTGGTTATAAAGAAGGTGGAGGAAAATGATAGATTAAACTGTTGGCAAAATAATTTGATTGAGATTCGATTCTAAGGTGAAGTAATTCTAAAAATAAAAAACTTAGTATCACTTGAAGTTAGATTTGTTGAGTCCATATTTATGTCTAGTAATGCTTTATAAGCCTTACTATTATCAAATTTGCATTAAAAAATTGAGATTGTTTTAAATTCATGTGTTTTACAACAACTAACTCATTTACTCACAATAAATAACTCAAGTAGTACAGACACATGGAATCACTGAGGGACCCATTTAAAATATCGCTACTCTGACTATTAAAGGTTCCTCTCATTTATCTCACCTTATCCGTATGCCTAATTTTTTGTGGACATTCCAAATGTGGGCCTTAGATGTAAATTAATAAAAGCAAGGGAGAAAGAGAGAAGGAGAGAAAAAAAAAGGTGATAAGTGAATTAGTACAAAACATGCAAGAAAAAAAAGTTGTGTAATTAATGTCCTTTTCTGCTTGCACATTAATACATTGTTACTACAAACTTCAATTGATAAGTTCAGTTTGGCTTCATCCATTTCCCTATGCTGGTCCCCTTACTATCCACACAAGTGAATATACTTGACTCTAATTTCACACATGTATGTAATCAATGTCATCTATAAAATTCTCTCTGTTCTTTCTTTGATTTTTCAATACCAGAACTTCAATAACTCTTGAATTTCCTATTTATTATGTCTTCTTGATCAAACTCCCCTTCTTTTTAGTGTTGTCCCCTATGAACATCACTTCTAAGTTCTCACTTTATATGTTCACCCCACTACCATATCCTTAAGAAATTGCTCTTTAATCCATATGGCAACCTTCATCTCCAAGTCCAAGCCTCAACTCAGAAAACTCACTCTTCTCCTCAACATATCTTTCATCTCCCTTCTTTGTTTTCTTCTAAAAGCCTATCACCATCCATCCAAATCAAACTTTCATGGCCAGTCCAATGCCCCCCTCACAACCATCTTCAACCATGCTAGGTTGCTCAGTGATATTAGTGTTGATGGATGTAATGACCTCCACAAGTATTCAGATTGTAGTTCTAAGTGCTTATATGTCAAAACCCATCTTGATTGCAGGTCAAAAGGGTACATAAACTATCTTCAAATCTTCTATTGCAATATTGGTCAATCCCCAATTTTGGGACAAACTCTTCTTGCCTTATGGCTTGTGGTGTTGTTCTATCTTTTGGGTGACACAGCTTCCAATTACTTTTGCAACTCCTTACAAGGTCTTTCCAACATCTTGAGGCTCTCTCCCACCATTGCTGGAGTAACCTTGCTTTCTCTTGGAAATGGGGCTCCTGATTTTTTTGCAAGTGTTGTTTCTTTCACTGGAACCAGTGATGGTGCACTTGGCCTCAACAGCATCTTGGGAGGGGCTTTTTTTGTGTCTAGTGTTGTCTTGGGGATTATAAGCATTCTAGTTAGCCCAAGTCAAGTTGTAGTTGATAAGGCCAGTTTCATTAGGGATGTCCTTTTCTTCCTCTTCTCTCTGCTCATCCTCTTTATCATCATTTCTATTGGTAAAATTAGCTTGTTGGGTTCAATCTTCTATGTTTCTATCTACTTCCTTTATGTCTGTGTTGTCTCTGCTACACATTTCATCTATGGAGAGGAAAAGAAAGAAAGGGAGTTCTCAGTGTCTTCAGATGAGTTACTAGAATCTGGCATACCATTGTTGGGCTATGTTGATGATGACAAACCAAATTTCGCAGAGGAAGTGGTTGTTGTTGTTGAAGATAAGGAGGAAAAGCCAGAGAGTTTTGGTAATGATTCATTTGACTGTTTTTACTTGGGAAAGTTTTTACAAGTTCTAGAGTTACCTCTTTCCTTGCCAAGAAGGCTAACAATACCAGTGGTGAATGAAGAGAAGTGGTCAAAACCATATGCGGTTATATCTGTCACATTAGCACCAGTTATGTTGGCAGCAGTTTGTAATACACAGAGGGAGAACATGGGTTCAAGGAACTGTCTAGTTATGTATTTGACAGCTTCTTTGATTGGCATAGTTTTGGGGAATATGGCATGTGTGACTACCAATAGCTCTAGTCCACCAAAAAAATCCTTGTTTCCTTGGTTGGCAGGGGGTTTTGCAATGAGTGTAACATGGACTTATATAATTGCTGAGGAGCTGGTTTCCCTCTTGGTTTCAATTGGTAATATTATTGGTGTTAGTCCTACAATCCTTGGGTTAACTGTCCTAGCTTGGGGTAACTCTCTTGGGGATTTGATAGCCAATGGTGCCATGGCTATGAATGGTGGGACAGATGGTGCCCAAATGGCTATATCTGGCTGTTATGCAGGTCCTATGTTTAATACTTTGATGGGTTTGGGTGTCCCTCTTGTTCTCTCAGCTTGGTCTGATTATCCATACCCTTATGTCATTCCTAAGGACCATTCCCTATATGAAACCCTTCTATTCTTAATGGGAGGACTACTTTGGGCCCTTGTGATATTGCCTAAGAAGAATATGAGGATGGATAAGTTCTTGGGAGTAGGACTATTGAGTGTATACCTATGCTTTTTGTTTATAAGAATTGCCATGGCTATTGGTGTTCTGAAATTCTAGAGATTTACATGTTTGGTTTTTAGTTTGCAAAATTCCAAATCATGGTTTTGGGGGAAAAATAATTGTCTTGCCCAAACTATGATTTTGGAGTTGCAACAAGAAACTGAAGCATACAAGTGGTCCCTAAGGGGAACTTCTTCAAGAAAAAGTTTCTTGTGGGAAAACGGGGTCCATTGTGGTCCATCTCATGGAACTCACTCATGTTAATAGTACATTTGTAAGCACCACCACTTTGTAAAGTCAATTAATTATATATATATTTATTACTAGTTGGAGTCATTAACATTACAATTGTAAGTAGTTACTTTTTTAATTGTATAAAAAATGAAATATCATCTATAATAGTACTACACTAATTCAATCTAATTAAAATATAACACGCGAAATAAAAAATAAATTTATCATTTTATAGTAAACATGTGATCCACCCTTTAAGTGCTTTAACTTAAATTTAATTTACAGAAAAAGTGTGCCTACTGAAATATATATGAATCGAAATAAAACTATACATATCTAGACTTATTCATTATATGTTTTCTCAATATTTGTTCCTTTTCATATTTTCTTTCTCCGTTTTCATTTTGCCAACCATATGAATTTTATAGAGAGGTAAATATTAATTGAAAAGCCCTCAACAAACAAAATTGACAATTGACAATTTTATTCATGTTTCACACCATCAAGCCTAACTACAGAAATTTTATTCAATCATGTATGCTTTTGAGTACGTGATAATCAATCCCACAATGGTAACAACCTAACTAACAATAATACAAACTAGCTGTGAAACTTGAAGGTTATGAGATACAAACAAGAACAGCTATGTTGTATCACAATCTATACCATCTTTTTGCTTAAATTAGTTCTCAAAAAATGACTCTTTCCTTTTTTTGGCCAAGCAAGGCAAGCTCATTTTTCTTTCTTGATTGGAACTTATTGCCATATGTCTTATCATCATCAATTATCAGTAAAAAGCATATCACATCAGTAAAGCTGCCACTAATGTTTTAAAAATGCACGTTATGGCATTGTTGTTAAAATCTCGATTTATCACTACGATTTTACGTTTTTATGATTCTTTTTCACCAAAATGATTTTACTAATATTCCAAACACTTTTATGTTTTTATGATTTTTTACAATTTTTTTACATTATAATTTTACATTTTATGATTTTTTAATCCCTTCTCGATTTTACTTAAGATTTCAATTTTAAAAACCTTGTTTGTGGAAGAGAAGGACATGAATAGAAACATTTGTAAGGTATGCATAGTGAGTGAATTGTATTTATAAATTCTTATAAATTATATTATAAATTTGGAAAGTACACCCACTTTGAAATATATTTCCCATTATAAAAAAAGTTATAAATAAAAAATATATAAATATAATTTATCCCATACATCATAACCATTTTTGTTTTTGGATATTTTTTTTGGAATTTTTTTTTATTTCTATACTTACAAAGAGTTTTTGAGTGAAAAAATATATTTCATAACCCAATTTATTTCAATATCCAAAATAGAGGGAGCGTATATAATAAATAATTTTTTAATAATTAGTATATATTTAATACTGATAACACATTTTATGATGTTTATATTTAAAAAATAGTGTATTAGGGAAAAATAAAATAAAATAATTGTATGCTAATTTTGGTTCGGAACAACCGATTTATTACTAGAAAAATTAATTATTTTTCTTTATTTGAATAAAGAAAAAAATTGCGAGGTACTAGTATAATTAACCGATGCTATTTTTGCACCATTTTGTGCAAATCACTTGCACATTTGCACATAATGAATCTAATGAATTCACAGTGAGCCCATTTGATACATGTTTGGTTGAGATTCTTCACCTCAAGGATCAGGCTTGAATGCAAACCACATCAATTGAAGACGTGTTTGAGACTTTTAGGGTCACTACTTGCCAAAATTATTTTTATTATAATAGTTAATTATGATGGGATTGACCAAAGAGCTATTTATCTAGTAAACAAAATTAAAAGTCAGCACTGTAAAACTAATATAAAACCAACAAAATTGATTATTGGCTCAAACTAATTAACGAAGTTTAAAATCAATTACTTCCACATTAATTTATTTATAATCAGTTCCTCTGTAATTTAACCCAAGAAAACCAAAATTTAATACATGGTTCAAGTTTTTTGCACAATTGTTTATAAGGTTTAGCTCAATTAAAAGATTCAAACCCAAAAGTTGAGTTAAATTCCTTAAAATAGTTTTTTTATTAATATTTTATTTATAAGAAACATCATAATAATTAAGCTCCTGCTGAGACTTGTTTCATATCTTAGCCTATGATTGAAATATTATATTATCTTTTTAAATTTTTTTGAGAAAAAAAGAGGTTCTTGATTATTAAATTACTTGGAGCAAAAATTGACAAAATGGGATAGGTTGCTTGAATCAATTACATTCTCCAACGATGGCCTCCTATCTAGTTGGAAGATGAATCACTTAATGGGTCCACTCTATTTCTTTCATGTCCAAATCATTGTGGTCCATTTCCTGCGTGTTGATTTTCTATTAAAGAGACAATGCAGGGTCATTATATGGATAATTAATGGAAAGGCTTTAGAACACAGCATTTTCGTTCCTCTCTAAATAATGACTCATAGAAACCACATTACCACAAATATTAATAATTCTGATCTGGTTATAAACTAAATATTAGAGCTGTCAAAAAGGGCTCAAGCCCTAAAGCCAGCCCATCAAGCTCTAGGGCCAGCCTTATAAAATTTTAGCCCTCTATGTAATCGGGTCTTTTTAAGCCCATCCTTTTAAAGCCCTCTCATTATAGGGTTAGGTTGGAGTTGGCCCGCGGGCTACAATATTCAACCCAATTTACAACGAAAAAATTTCATCAAAAGTTTTGACGGAAAAAAGAATTCCTTCAAAATCTTTGACGGAATATTTTCCGTCCAAAATCTTCGATGAAAATGTGACCCAATGAAAATTACAACAAAAATATTTTTTTTCAAAATTTTTGAGGGAAATGTATCTGTGAAACTTTCGACGGAATTTAGATTTCTTAAAGATTTTTGACAAAATATTTTTTTCGTTGAAATTTTTTACAGAAATATTTTCGTCAAAGTTTTTTACAAAAATGTGTTCCGTTTAAAATTTTGATAGAAATATTTTTTCTCGAAAATTTTGTCAAAAATATTTTTGACGGAAATGTGCTTTGTGAAAAATTTTGACGGAAATTTTTTCGACAAAAACTTTTTTCATCAAAAATTTTGACGGAAATTTTTGTGTCAAAAATTTTGACAAAAACTTTTTTCGTCAAAAATTTCGACGTAAATTTTTTTCGTCAAAAATTTCAACAAAAACTTTTTTCGTCAAAAATTTCATCGAAAATTTTTTCTTCAAGAATTTCGACGGAAATTTTTTCGTCAAATTTTTTTACGGAATTTAGATTCTGTAAAGAATTTTGACGAATTTTTTTTTTTGTCAATTTTTTTACAGAAACATTTTCTGTCAAAACATTTTACGAAAAAATTTCTATGCAATAATTTTTTTAAAAATTGACAATTTTTTAAAAACTATTTATTTTTATTTTTTCTAATAATTTCTATGCACCATTTTATTATAAATATTTTTTTAAAAAAAATACATATTATTTTTTTAGAAGGCCCGCGGGCTGACCCTAACCCATAGGGCTTTGACCTGTGTGGATCTATATCATTGTGAGTTTTTTGGCCCTGCTGGCTTTTTGGCCCTAACCCACTTGGGCTAGGGCTAAATGGGCCGGGCTGGCCCGTTTTGACATCTCTACTAAATATCTATCCTTGAAAAATAAAAGCCGCTATGCAGGGCAGCGCATGCTATTCAAATTTTCCTTGCTATTATTACATGCGTCAACTTAATTATGCGCACTTGATCACACAGGTTTTGATGTCATGTTAAAAATCAAATACAAGCACATGAATGATGTTATATTTAACACTTAGGACATGTCATGTAATTCATTTTAATTTGAGGTCAATTTCCTTTTTGTGACGAAAGGTGATTTCATTAAAGATAAATAATAGCGTTGTACGTTGTTAATGCATATCCTAAATTGTATGCAAGGCCTGCTATAGTCTAATGTGCTACAAAATTTAAATTTGTTTTCTGTTTTTATTATATAAATTAAGAGAATATTATGTAATTGAAAAATATCATCATCATTCTAGCCTATTAATATGTGATCTGGATTAATTCTAGGCATGATATAAGGTCCAATCCATGAATGGCCCAAGAGACTAAATAATTAAGACTTAAAGGTTAAGGAAACACGTTCATCTCGCGTCAATATCATCCCACAGATATACTGTCATACGATAACAATAGCTCAAGCCTTTATAGCCACCCTGATAGCCATTGGCTAAGGAATAGACATTTGGTTAGCTATATTTATGAGGCGAAGCCCATTAATAAACATCCCGACACGAATAGTCTGCAAGAGTCACTTCTGCCCACCAATGAGATTAAATGCCGCCATATTAAGGCTGCATAAGTCGGACAATCAACTAATAAGGTTTTAAGCTCACGTATAATCATCTAGTCTATCTAGTCAATCTTGATCGACTGGGACAATCCCTGCTTTTTTCCCTGGCAATCAAGATAATCAACACCAGATCTTCTATGTTGAAGCATCCCGTGAAGAGATCATTCATCAACAACCACTCCAAAGAAAACTCAGTTAACTATTGAATCAGACTTAACTGTGTGTGATCTAGTTCCATCCTTATTGGACTAATCAGAAACTGTAAGCTAAATTAAGTAAGGGATTTATTATTCTCATGTTACATAAGATAAAATCTATCTTCTACACACACAAATTCAAGATGAGTCATACTTTATTTTTTTTCTCTTCCCTTAAAAGTGGATCCCACATGCACAAATAAGTCTGTAGGAGACAAATATTATCTTCTACTGCATGAAAAAACTATTACCCATTAAGTAACCAGTTCAATTTAAAATTAAAATTATATAGGAATATAAATATAGAAAACTGAAAATATTTAGTGGGTTAAACCCACACCCTCAGTTCCAACTTCCAATAGTTGAGCAAGATTCGTCGGTTCCAATAATTGAACTAATTAAGAAAACGCCAAGCAAATTGAATGCGAAAATGTTTTTCTCGTTTAAATCGATCACAAACCTAGTGATGCTTTTGGACATAGAAACAATATACGAAAACAAACAAGCCGTGGTGTTGATGGAACGAACCAAAACCCTGTATCAAAATGTTTATGTTTTGTTTTGATTAATTATAAGAGAATTGTTTTTTATTTATTTTTTAACAAATTTTGATTATAAATTATTTTGAAAATAAAATGAATTAATACAAGCATAAAATAAATAATTTGTTATGAAACTTTGTACTGCTCAATTTATCATTCTCGATTTATTAAATTTGTATATAAAAATTACAATATCGGATGCCATCATCTAATCAGTCTTTCTGTAAATAAAGTTTATTATGATGATATTTATTTGAAAAAAAATGCTTATCCTTTTAAATGATATAATTTCTTGTTCTTTAAACTTGATCAGTCCGGTCCAAAATGGATTGGGTTTGATCGCACACAATTGAAGGTTGAAGACTTTGGGTTGGGTGAAATGTTTCGTGGGCTGATGTTGTTTGCTGTATCAGTAACGGGTGTCGTGCTTCACTGATGCAATGGAATAGGTTGGGGATACCTGCAAAGACACTCTGCCGCTAAAGTCAGTATCATTGCTAGGCTTATGTTATCTTCTTAATGGAATTAGATAGTCATACATGGGTTTGTACCCTTCGTATATATAACAAGTCTTATGTCGCCTTTGTTAGGCGGCATGCCTTTTTATTGGTTGTTATGGGTTGCAGACTTTATCTGTCTCAGCTGGTGCCTTTCTAGCTATAGATCTACATATTTGCCTGTCTTCTTAGAGTGGTGGTAAGCTGGAGCTGTCCTTCGTCTGTTGGTCTGTGAGCGCGGTCGATCTCAGCTTGTCACAAGATCCTTCCTTAGCCTTTAAGTTACATAAAGCGGTTCTGCGTCATGAAACTATTGCGCTCCCTTCTGCACAATGATTGTATCGCGCGTTATAGGGTCTGCATACTATTTGGGCCTGTTCTGGGCTTTAACCCTTGTAGGCCTATATAATTATCCAGATAAAAACTGAAATTATATTGTTTTATTATAATTTTTAACTATTTATTTTTTATTTTAATTGGCTAAATATTATAATGAAACACTATATTTTCTTAAAAAAATATACAAAACTATGTTCTTTAAAGAGATAAATATTTTTCCTTATTTATTTTATAATACGCCAGGGTTCTTATCAAACAAAAAAATAAAATAAATTCTCTATTAAACATTCATGAAGACGCGCATTTAGGGGAATTAATACTCCTAGCTAGGTGTTAGACTAAAGTTTTGTATATGAATAATAAGGTAAATTCCTATTTGTTTGGATGATTTTTTATATAAGAAAAAGATTGGAATGAGAGGGAAGTATTTCGCCAAATTTTCCGTGAACCAGTGTCACAACTCACAAGGCTTCGTGGGTGTCTTCGGCTTAATCTTAATTGGTATCCCTAAATAAATCATGTCTTTCAAAAGTACATTTTTATCTATTTTATTGCATTGAATTAGTTAATGTTAAAGATATTAATATATATTTATTAATGTGGTCTCATGTATAAGTTTAAGTGGTTGGGTTGAATTGATTGCATTATATGGTATCAGAGTTCGTGATCAAGAGATTACGTGTTCTAATCTAATTCACCTGAATCTCTAATAAAATTAAAAAAGTAAGTTAATATATATATAGGAGAATTATATTAACAAACTTTTTTTTTACAAACTTATAAACTACATTATGTCTTATCGGTAAGATTTCACTCAAAAATATCTTACCTATAAGACATAGTATAGTTTGTAAACAAAAAATTTATAAATATAACATTACCCATATATATGTGTGTGTGTGTGAGTGTGTGTGCACGGGTGGGCATTATTCATGTTTCAATTCTAAAATATCTACCATTAATGTGATTTCACTTATTAGTTTAAGTTATTGGGTTGAATTAGTTCTTTGTAATCAGGGGTGGCAATCCTTGACCTAGCACATGGACACAACATGAAAATTCTTGTCCAGGTTTACCAATATTTAAATTCATGTTATGTTCGTATTGAAAAAATATGACACACAAAATTTTATGTCATGTTGTATTGCATGTCAACACATAAACATGAATTTATGTCGTGTAACTCGTATTAAAAATGGGTCATGTCAATGTTGATAACTAATAAATTTTAGTTTGCGCGTTGTTCATGTTATGTCCTATTAACCAGCAAAATTTTTGAGTCATGTTTGTGTCAAAGATTTTGACATGAATAAAAATTTATATCGTATTTGTATTGAATGTATTCGTGTTTATGTTCAATTTATGTTGTGTCAATCGGATTGGCCCTTGTAAAATTTTAAACTAGTACATGGATATAATTCAGAATTATTATTGATTGATAAAAAAATAGGTCTAAATTCGAGTGTTTTTTTTTTGAGTAAATACCCTTTTAGGTCTTCAACAAAAATACAAAACCCATTTTAATTCCTTAGAAAAAAAGTATCTATATTAATCTTTTTTGAACAATTAATGTGAATTTTTTTTGAATTTATGAGAAACTACAATTTCAAAGAACTAGTATTTCAGAGGAAACACAAATCGACTTTTTTTAAGATTTAAATTCACATCATGCTGCTTCGCAATGGTATCAAATAATTTTTTGTCTTTGAATTTTTTTTCCAAAGATGTATATTAACTTAAAAAATTTATTATTTTTATATAATAAGAAAACTGAAATTTAAACCTATAAGCTCATGCAAATTATTCAAATCCCTCACTATTAAAAATATTGATTTCACGCAGCTGGTAACATCATATATCTTTTGGACCTAAATTAGGTTGTAATTGAAAGCAATGAAGCATTGAATACGAAAAAATGCAAAATGATACTGAGATCTAGATTAGTAGATCGAGAAAGTTTTAATTAAATATTATATGACCTAATGTGACTAAAATGTTATATATAAAATTAATTTTATATAAGCCATTAGAATTGATTTAGTAGTAAAGGATTTGAGTAGATTGTATTAGGTTATGTGTTTAATTCTTATTTGTATAATTTTTTTTAATATAATACTAGCATAAAACTGCAAATGTTAGATTATAATAAAGACATTAACATTTCATAAGTTAGCATTAGTTCTTGGAGATACAATAAAAATATTTACTTAATCATTGCGGTATTTCATTCATAACTGTCTCCAAAAAAAAGAGTCAATGATAAGAATCCAAAAGTATCTTCACAGCTGACACGTGTTCGACTGTATACTGAAAGCCCGATATAAAATAAGATTTTGTAGATATTCATTAATATTTTAAAAAAATTATGATCTTAATAAATTTTTTTATCAACTTATTAAAAATATTATATGTTGAAAATGCTTGATTGTTATGCTACTACAAAAATATTTACATAAAAATGTATATATATGATACGATTATTTAAAAACTTTTAATAGCATGATAATTTTCTAGTGATTATTATTATATATAGATTTTTTGATTCATTTAGCAAAATTATGTACAGAATGAACTTGTTTTCGTACCCTCATTTCAATTCATTAAATATGGATTTTTTTGAAAATTTATTATGTTATTTAGAATTTTAAGGATTTATTATTAATTTTTTTAAAATTTTTATGAATGTTTATTGTTATTATATTATTCAAAATTTATATATTTCTAAGGATGTTGATATAAATGTCTTGTAGTATAAAATTAATAAGAGCATAAAATAAACATGAACATATTGTATGCATAGACAAATTACTGATTGACCACCAAACACTTCCTTATTTGATCTAAAACAAGTGGAGCACAAAAATTTAGTGAAGATTTTTGTTTTTGTTTTAAGAAAAATGTTCTCTCACATTTTTCTTCAACACTTTTCTAATATACCGGTGTATTTGAAAATAAAATGAATCATTGAAATTTTTCTTGATTAAAAATAACAAAACAATTATTTGTGTGAGGCAAAGGGTGTTGTGAATTGATACTTTACGTGCTTTTAACTTTTCCAACTCCATTTACGTGATTTGTCCTTTTCTTTATTTAATTCTCTATTTACATATATTAAATAATAATGTAAAAAGTATGAAAATTATAATTTGCATTAATTGTTAGGTAGTGTAATTAACTTTAATTAATTACTGCAGTTTAGGCTTCACCTACCACTTAAATTGAGTTTAGCCTAAAGGGTCAATAATCCTGCCTTTTTCCAAAATGTGAAAGTTAAAGAGAAGAGGGGTTGGCTACTAGATTATGCATATTAAAGACCAACAAAATTCAAAGACATTTTATATTTTCTTGGCAATTTATTATAAAGTCTTGACATAGGTAGCTAAATTTTGGTAGTTGGGCCCAAAATTAGGCTAGATTCTATCCCAAACGTAAGTTTGATGGTAACTTAACTTTGGTTTATCGGTCCTACTTATAACCATTTTGCTTATGTTCTTTCAATTGTTGGCATTGGTCAATGTGAAGCACTAGAGTATTTATTATAAGGAAGAAGATTGACAAGAAAACTAAAGCTTATCCACCCCACCGACAAGGCTCTTTAATTTGTCAATCAAGAATAATCTCTCCACTCAAGGCGTCTACAAATTCATATCATATCCTCCAAACTACTAGACAAATATGGTTGTAATTTATCATCTATAGCATCACCATTGGTTTGGTGTAGAATAACATTACCTCACATCAGCATTGATTGTTACCGTTTTGGCATTTCATTGATATGTTTCTAGATACGTACATCGGTATTTATTCTCAATTCAAATTTCAACATGTGGAATTAATTGTTGACTAATGCATCCAAATGTTATACAGTACGAGGATTTGACTAATTAACACTATCTTGATAGTAATTAAGCAGAAAATATGCAAAAATATACATCACAAGGGAGTATCCAAATGTAATTCTGTGATCTAGATATATTTGAAATGGTATTAACCAAGCAAATCTATCTACAAATAGCAGTGGCATTTCTACCCCTAACAAATTTACACCTACCTATGATAGTTGCATAGTATATTGTTCCTATACAGAAAATACTGTCAGTTGCTAATAGCTATATGAATCCGATGACAAATTCATAATTCTTATCATCTTTTGAAGATGAAGCCTAACATATCCTGGAATTGGAGAGACCCAAGTGTTTGAATCAGCCTCAGGAACATAGATATGAAGTAAACAACTAAAAGCCCTCCTCCTAAGAGTGCATCAAGCTTCATATCTCTTCTAATCAAAACTACAAGTGCCCAAACCAATCCAACCACCAAAAGTGCCAATGTCTCCCACAGATATGGATCTCTAGGGATCACAACAGATGAAGGGTACACTGACCAAGTAGAGCTCAGAAGAGATAAGCCCAATCCTACTACTGTATTGAAGATAGGGCCAGCATAACAACCTGATATTGCTATTTGAGCACCTTCTGGTCCACCATTTAAAGCCATTGTCAAATTTGTTACTAAATCCCCAAGTGAATTTCCCCAGGCAAGAACCGTTAGCCCCAGTATTGAAGGACTTACGTCACATATGTAACCAAGTGAAACCAACAACCCCACCAATTCCTGAGCTGTAATGTAGCTCCAGGTCACACTCATCACAAACCCTCCTGCAAGCCAAGGAAACAAGTACTTTTTTGGTGGGCTTGGCACCTCAGTTGTGAAAAATGCAGTTACCCCTAATATAATTCCAATCAATGATCCAATTCCATAAAATATAAGGCTCGAGTTAAGGTCATTGTTTTCCTTTCCCATCCATAGGAAAGACAAGAGAAGTGGTGCTAGCATAGCTGAAGAAACTGCATAAGGTTTGGACCATCTCTCTTCACAAACAACAGGTATTGTCAATCTCCTAGGCAAGTAAAGGGGCATCTCCAAGACATAAAGTAACACTCCACGTATTGAAAATTTCTTACAGCAACATTTCTTAATATTCAAGTCACATTCCTGAGCTCCATTTGCAGCACAATCAATCTGTCCTTTCTCCATCTCACATAGCAGAGGGACACCTAAATCACTGCCATGTCTTGAATCGCCATCACTTTCAGCATCCTCACAGACACCCTTCCTTCGGGTAGATGAGACATAAACAGCAATAACATACACCGCATAAAGCAAACAAAAACCAATTGACCCAAGAACATTGATCTCACCAGCGATCAAAATGATGAACAAGCATAGAAGAACAAGGAGAAGAAAACAAACATCTCTTATCAAAGCATCCTTCTTAACCCGAATTCCCCTGTGACGAATTGAAATGCTCACTATTCCCACCACAACACAGGACACAAAGGAAGAACCACCAAGCACAGTGTTAAAGGCAATGCCGCGGGTCCCACTACCATTAAAAGAAACAAGGGTAGCAAAAACATCACATGCACCATTGCCAAGAGAGAGAAGAGTCACTCCAGCAATTGTAGGTGAGAGCCTCAGCAATTTGGACAATTTTTCAAGGGAAGGACAAAAGTATTCAGAAGCTGTGTTAGCCAGCAGATAGAACAGTACCAATAACCCAAGAAACAAAACACTGTGACCCAATAAAGGGAATCCCCCAAGTTTGCAATAGAAAAGGTAAAGGTAATCAACAAAGCCCTGAGAGACACAAGGGTCATTGGATTTCAGGTACAAGCACTTAGCTTTATAGTCACCCAGACTGTGGAAGCTCTTGCAACCTTGGTCACCACCGCCCCCCAAGCCAAAGGGGTTGATCCTCCTCAGAACAACATGTTCTGAAGAGTGGAAATGAACAATCACCAAAGCACAAAGCATAACGAGGAACAAGGTGTTCAACAACAAGGTGAAACCCATGCGTTTGGACACAGAAACTACAGTTGTAGCCATGCTGAGAGATTAAAAAGCAAAACCCTGTTTCATAATCATAGAAAAGATGGAAACTTGATTATTAAGAAAACCCAGTTGTGGTTAAAATCCAAGATTTCAAAATATCAAAAGATGAATGAAACCCAATAAAAAGAGAAAAAGGAACTGACCTTAGACTGAAAATTCTGTTGCTTTATTTTACTTTTTTTTCTCCTGAATTTGTCTGTGCTTTGTGCAAACAGAGAAGAGATTGAGAGAGAGAGAGAGAGAGAGAATTTGGTAAAGCATAAGCAATTGGGGTTTGAGGTATCATTCAGATGACAGAAACATCAACCAAAAAGCATGCGTAGCTACCACACACGTCTCGTGTGTTGTGGTCTAGTTTCTGGTTTATAGCAAAATTCAGTGTGAAAAAGCAAAAGAAAGGGTATGCAAACGTTTTGGTGGATCAAAAGTTGCATTCATGGGGGTGGGATGAGTACATAGATGCAACGAGATAATGATTGAGAGAACCCTGTTCACCTCTCATATCAGGTTGTCTTCGATTCATGGGAACTTCCTCCATCGAACATGGCTAAGTTCGGTTCCATGTTTTTTAATTTTTCTCGTGGAATAATATATTTTAGTTATCATTTTATCAGTCTATCTTTTATTATTATTTTTCAATATTATTAGATGTCTATTATTGTTTCAGTATCATTAGATCAGAATCTCAAAAAAATAAATATAAATGTTAGTTAAATCAGAATCTTAATAAGAGAGAAAAATATAAATGTTAGTTAAGATTATGATGTAATAATAAAAAAAAACAAATTGGGTACTTTTGCATGATTTACACAAAGTATGATCGGTGGCTGTCATACTTTGTGTAAATCTAAAAAGCTGTTTTTTTTCTTTCTCAGTCATATCACTGAGTGTAAATTGAATTTTTTTTTTTTTTTTAGAATTACACAAAATATCATCAATTATACTCTGTGTAAGTTACTTAAAGGACACAACTTATATCTTTTTTAATGAAAAACACTAAATCCTATATATAATGATATTTTAATATGATAGATAAAGATAAATAGAAAGAAGAAAGAAAAATAAAAAAACCTATCTCCTTCTTCTTTTATGTCATTTTCCCACTTTCCATTTTCCTAATTTGGTGGAAATTCAATTTTTTGTAGTGTCACGCGTCATCAGATGGAAGAGCTCTAGTTACTGTGGTACGTGACATATATTGCATTCCCTCTTCCATTTTATTATTCATGGTTAATTAATAAGGATGTGAGGATTGTTATATTAATGATGAGATTAGTCTTTTTTTATGTTATATAAAAGTGTATAAGATTTATTTATTTTATATAGTCTTATATATTTTTATATGTACGTAGGAGATAAATTTATCTCCTATAACATGAAAAATAATAAACTCATTAATGATTTTACTTTTTATTCTACTTTATGAAATTATAATATTTGATATTGATTATTAGGAAATTTAAGAGTTTTGTGTTTATTATGGCATGTTAAAACATGTACAATGAAATACTTAGGGAAGAGTAAATGTTCAAATCGAAAATTGTGCGTGTAGCTTTACCTAGTCGTAATCCCATGCTAAAGGGATTCGTGTTTTTAATTTAACAGGTTTTGGCTCAAGCGATAAACGCATTTTAGTTAAATGGTTTGAGAGACTGATTACCAAAAAAAAAAATGGTTGAGAGAATTTGGGCTTGTTTAATATCTGTTCTAGAAAACAGTTTTTTGATTTTCAAGAAAAAAAAATCAATTTGTTAAGGTTTGTTTAGTAAAAAAAAAAAATTAAAAATTATAACTGTTTTAAAAATAAAAATTAAATTTAGAAAATATGTTTGAGTTTTTTTCAAAACAAAAAATTCATAAAAAACCCTTGGTTCCATAACTATTCTACGAAATAGTTTTAAGAAAAAAAAATCAAAATACAATCAAACAAGCTCTTTATATTCGTTAATAAGGAGAGGGACAATCTCAATATTTTAATCTCGTACTTAAAAATTATAAGAGGCTTGTCAAAAGAAAAAGAAAAAGAAAATTGAATTTTGGATTTTATCCCTGGTAGAGCAATCATTTAATAAACTTTAATATTATGTAAAACAATTATTCCACCTAACAACTCAAAATCTTAAGTAAGGGCTTTCTTTTATCAGCTCAAGTGTCATAATTCGATCCGACTCCGACCCGTCACTTATCAACTTGAATTGTTGGGTGAAATAATTATTTATATGATAGTAGTCACGGAATTACGAGTTCGATCCTCAATAATCTCCCATAATGAAATTAAGTTAGCACAAGTGTGAGCTTGATGCATGGTTCTTTTTTCAATTTCAATGAATTCTAATATATATATGAAGGAACATATTAGAGAAATATAAAAAATCATTGATGAATTATCACTTACTAAAGATTTGAGGTGAGTTGGTTGTCTACACATCTCACTAACATCCTCTTATATTTTGATTAGATAATCACTTCATACACCCATGACATTTTGCAAATAGCACTTATTAACAATATTCACGCTATGACAACGCGAGGTTTACATTTTATGACTTAAAATAGTATATAAAACTTTATCTTTTACTTAATGTAAGATATTATAAGGATTAATGTTTCTTATATTACAGAAAATAATTTTATTTCATACATATATATAAAAGTACGTAAAGTTCATATTTTCTTTTTGTTTCTTTTTTTCATATGACTTCACAGGAATTTCATATACTTTTATGTATGTGTAGAAGATAAAAATATTTTTTATAATATAAAAAATATTAATCCCAATATTATATTACGTATTCTTTCGAAAGAAGGGTCATTCTTTTTAATTTTATGTCTATCAATTATTAATAAAAAATTAATTGTTATGACGTAAAAAAAACTTAACCAAAAAACCTAGCCTATTAAATAAGAAAGTATAACGACTTTTATCACGTTTAGCTCCACCTTTTACTCATCATGTGACATAACGTTATTTTCGAATTTAAAATGTGTCAACTTACAGTGAGGTAAGATGAGTCACAATTTTTTTTTTCCGTAGTTAGAAATAAAATCATAATGCGTATTATTAATAATGCACTTAAATTGAATGGTCACTTCACTCGTCACATAAATAAAGAAGATAATGAGAGAGAAAGCGAGAGCACGCGGTGAGGAAGAAGTCTTCTCTTCTCTTCTTCAAGTGGGCACTCATTTGAAGTCTCCTCTGCGTGCCGTACGTACCCCGTTTGCAACCAAGTGTTTATTGAATGGTTTTTTTTATTACCTTCTCTGTTTGTTGACTTTAATTTAAGGAGTGATTCAAGCAATATTATTATACTTAAAGCAAGGTTTATGTTTTCCAATAAAAGTATCATACATGCTATATATTAAAGTTGTATATAAATACTTTCCAAAAAAAAGATGTATATAAATAATGAAGTTCTAGATATCCGCATATCTAATGTCAATGATCACATGTCTAGACATAAAATATGTATATATATATATATATATATATATATATATATATATATATATATATATATACACACACACAGAGGAATTATATTGACAATTTTTTTTTCTTACAAACTATATTAAGTCTGACTAGTCACATACTCTTATAAATTTATAAGAAAAAAAAGTTTGTCAATATAACCCTCCCCATATATATATATATATGGAAAAAATATTTCTGCAGCCACTTTAGATAAATTTATCTACAGCTACCCATTTATAACTATGTTCTCCCGGAAGAGCTTTTTCTCTCTCCACGTAAGCAGATAGATTTTGAAAAGTAAATGAGGAGAGAAAAAAAATAACTTTTAATGTTATAACTATATTCTCCTGGAAGAACATAGTTATAAAGAGTAGCTGTAGATAAGCTTTCTAAAGTGGCTGCAAAAATGTTTATTCTTATATATATATATATATATATATATATATATATATATATGTTAATGTAAAAGTTTTATAAACTATAATCTAATTTTATATTCTTAAATCGGCAATATTTTTACCATATGTTACATGAAAAAGTGAATTCAGCCTAACTTATGGTCTATGATGCACGGACACTGACACGGGACACGTGACACGACACGACACGCCGACACGTTAATTCTAAAAATTGTCATATTTGGACACGTTGGGACACGTTTTGATATTAAATAAAATTTTTGATATATATAATATAATTTACATTTTTTTTATAACATATAATTTACATTTAATTCAAATAATAAACCATAAAAAATCATACAACCAATAAATATCTTGAATAATTTTATCTATAAACATTTTTCTCATGAGTGTGTTAAAGGTATTGATTATAGAACTTATAATATTATTTATAAAATAATTTTGATTATTCAATATAATTTAAAATATTTGTCATTTAAGATAATATATAATAAATAAGATGGCCTCTTAATTTTATTCCAAAATATAAATATATTCAATTAAATTACTCATTATTAGAATATTAAAAGTAATATTATTTTATAAATATTTGTTATTTTTTTTAACAAATGATAAAGTTATTGAAAGGCCAAACTATCCTGCTAAAAACAATGGTTGAGCCTAACTCTATTGTCATATTCTAATTAATCTTGTTTGTTCTAGTAACCGTGGTGGTAAAGGCTAGGCGCATCAAAATCAATAGGCTATGTACTGTAGACCAAAAAAAGCAGCTTTTGCAGCTGAGTAGTCATTTCTCACCGTTTGACAAATTCAAATCTCATTTTTTTTCTTTTCACCATTTTCTTTATTACCTCTTTCCTCTTTTTTCCAGTATCTGGTTTCCATCATCTTCTAGCTATTTCTCATGCATTTTTTCTTTTCACCATTTTTGCATCTTTTTTCCCGTATCTGGTCACCAGCCATCGGAGCGTAGCAGATCCAGCCGTGAATGGCTTCGTTGGCGACGACGCTGAGCCAACCCGGCCAGCCAGCGGCCGCATGTTCGTCTTGCATGTATTTGTTCAGGTCCCCTTACCTAAAGCTTAAGGGCTTGTAGGCAACAACGCCATTAGAGACTCACCGATTTCGCTCTGACTTTTCTCTTTGAATCAGTCTTCTTTCTTCTCCTCCTACTCGTTCAAAAACCTTACATTTTTGTCCTTTGACCGTGTCGGACACGGTCAAAATCGCGTGTCCAGATAGTCAACGTGTCCGAAAAAGTTAAGCACGTGTCAAACGCGTGTCGGAGCGTGTCCGAACGTGTCGGTGTCGGACACGCATTTTTTCTGCAAAATGGCGTGTCCGTGCTTTGTAGCTTATGGTAAATGAATTTTCAATCTGACTAATATTGTTTGACAAGATAAGCTTTGGGAAAACGTACACTTTAGTTTGGGTCCTTCAAAAGTCTGAAAGGCACCTTCAATTCAAATAAGTGTACCTCAACTAAAGAGGTTAGAATTTTTATCGATGAAGCAAGTAAAATGTGCTATATCAACCAAAACAAACATGAATTTGGAAGGACTTCGAAGACATTCACCATAACAACATTAAGTGTTTAATCCGAGATGGATGGATGATTGTCGAAGTGTTTGTTGTGTGTTGTAGA